ATGACCCTGCAGTCGCAGAAGTTCCAAATAGGAGATTATTTGGACATAGCGATCACCCCTCCAAATCGGGCACCACCTTCTTCAGGGCGCCTGAGACCATATTAAATTTTATCTACTGTTCTTCAATTATTTTTCATTCAGTTATGTAAAATAAACTTTCTCCTTTCTTCGTTGCCATTAAGCCTTTAAACTCTGAACAAATTGTATTGCATCTATTTAGGAGTTAGATTTGGCTATGCTTCTGTATGGATATCCATAGAAAGTCCTTATGTCCTATAAAATTTGAAGAAAAGTGCTCTTAGCATTATATGTAAAACTGTATTGTTAAATATATGTATACAATCAGTCTGAGTGTGCAAGTTAATGAAAGTATGGGGACACGGTTTAATATAAAATTTTGGGGTTTCTGCTCAGTAGAGGTTGGTATGTTCAAGTGGAGCAGAACAAAAAAGACTGCATTTAGAAAAAGGATCCCTGTAAATGAAGTATTTCAGAATAAGAACTGAGACTAATTGAGGAAACTGTCAATGTTTAAAGGCTCTGCCTGAAGTGGTCTGCCTGAATCAAGGTACAGTGACATAAAATGTTAGAGGAAGTGTGTGTGGTAGCTGTTCTGAAAATGTAGAGAATAGGACATTTTGAGGACAAACTAGTATAGAGGAAACTCAGGTTAGAACTTAGGGTAAGTGGAGGTTAATCTTAACGGAAAATGGAAAGAGGTGAAAGTCTACTTATGAATAAGGGGAGATGAACCAGGGATGAGGATAAATAAGTGGGGGATATAACCTAGGAGCAGGGGGCTGCCTTTACCTGGTTGAATCCAGTTGAAAGGCAGTGTGCACAGTTGTCAAGTCCAGGTAGGCTAAGTACTTAGACCTGGTTGCATCAGTAGTTTTGCAACCTTAGCAAGATTTTTTTTTTTAAGTTTGTAAAATGGAGAAAAACCTTAAGAATGGTGAAGTGTAAATGTTTGAAACTAATAGCCATAATAGTTCAGTCAGAACTAGAACACTATCTTCCATGGCACTATCAACATTGAAGTTTATATGAACAGTATGACAGTATCTAGTAAGCTTAAGAACCTTTTGTCAGAATTGAAAATGACTTGCAGTATGAAGAATGGTACTAGCAATGATTTTCAAAGATGCTTTTGAAATGAGCCTTTTAAAATCTAATGGTTCTAAGCAATTGGTCTTTGTCGCAAAGTGAGTTAACAGGTAATGAGACAGACTTGAAAGCTAGGTGTAATTCTGTAGTTTACAAAAATCCATAGATTAATTCAGGCTAGATTAAGTTGAATTCTGTACCACATAAAACTCTAAACCTCGGGTATTTTTTGGAGGAGCTATGTATACCTTTCCACTTGTGAGGAAGAAACTGCCAATCGAGGCAGGAACTAAAGAGACCTTTGTAAGCCAGTTTTTTTCTATGATATGAACTACAGTGAGGGCTCTCTTAAAGGTTATTCTGTTTAATACTTGGTTCCAACATGGAATTTTTCCTTTTAAGATCTCAATCTCTGCCCAAAAGTACAGTTAAAGAAGACCTAGTGAATTTATTATTGAAGATGATGCTGGGAAATCAAGGCTGATACTTGGTCTTATTTACCTCTGGCTTTGCCAAGTAACTAAGCTGTTCACTCAAATATGAAATAGAAATAATGATCACATTACAGCACTGTGGTTGGTACTTTAGTACTGACTGTTTATAAAGTTATTTTGGAGTAGAGATTTCATCCCTGTGTAGTGTGCTATATATAGTTATATTGCCTGTATTTTCAGTTTTCTCGCCATGTAAATGAACATATTTTCAGTTACTAGATCTTTACTTGCTAGATCTTAAAGGGGGAGATTAAATTTATATTTAAGTTTTACACACAATAGCTGGGTTTATTATACCCATAGTAATCATTGACTTGGGTGGTGTTTGAGTACTGATTTTCTGTGCAAGTGTGTGAAGGGAAAGTGAAGGAAGAGAGAAGAAACCCTTAGGTTAGGGATTCAATCACATTCCAATTTTGTTTTTGTGAAACAAAGTAAACCCTAAAAATATGCTTATGATCTGAATGCTAAGCTGTTCTAATATTGCGCAAAGGAACTTTTTGTTGAAACTTCAATGAAAACATTTACAAGTGAGATTGGGCCTGGTTTAAACAACAGCTCACAACTGCAGGGATGTGAATCTATGTAATGAATAAATTCAAACAAGATTCAAAAACTACTATGCTTTCAGGTTTTAAAAATTTTCAACCAAGTGCAATCTAGCTTACAATTCACCAGTGCTCACCTGGCAGTGAACTATTAGTGCATGAACCTTTATATAAACCCAAAACAAATCTTTTAAAGAAATAATCCAGTCATGGTTTCTAGTTTCATATCAGAACATAAATGAGTACTGCCTGTCTTGATTTGTATTTTGCTGCTTACATACAGGTTTGTGATGTTATATTTTGGCTCTAATTTCTTGGGTATGCAATAGAGCAAATTTGAAAGAAGTATGTTCTGTAAGAAAGGATTAACCGTAAGTAGACATTTACTCTGTGGAGACAAAGTATTACATTTATTCCCACTAATGACTAGGGGGAATAAACTAAAAACAGCAATTTTAGTACTAAATGCAAAAAGTAATTTTAATAAACTGTCAGCCTTCATTGTCCTATGGAGTTTATTGTAGAAAGATGTTACAATTACCTACTTAATAAAGTTATTCGGAGGAGCCAATAAAATGATGACAATATGGTAGAAGATGAAGATTCAATAGCTGTCTAAAAAAAGACATTGGCAACACTCCACTTTGTACTTTTGTTAAGCTAGCAGGTGAACCCTAGCATAAGCAACATCTAAGGAAATTTAAGATAGGTATTTTCCAACTCTTAAGATCTTAGAAGAGTTGTAGAAACTCAGTTCATGGCATTCCTGATTAACACTTTTTCCAGTTTCTTGTCAGGAAATAAGATATATTTAATGAATGCTTAAGTACCCGGTATGATGTGCCTGGTGATAAATGAAAATTTTAGCATATCCTTTCTCAGATGCTTACAACCTAATAATAAAAGGTATAAATAATGATGATGAAAGATTCGACAAATTCCTTCTGAAGAAGGAATTGCAGTTCTAACTCCTAGAAGGATTTATGCCCTAATTAAAGATACACGAACAAAGGCATCAAGTAGAAATGTCAGAATTCACACAGTGGAGCACTAAATATGTACTAATTTAATTTTGGTTGGCAATTAGGATGAAGAGGAATGTCATGAGAAAAGCAAAGCTTATTTGCAGGTGACATACATAGAGAACACAAAAGATTCCATTAAAAAAATAATTGAAACAGTATGTTCAGGAAATTGGTAGATTATAAAACCACACAAAAACCAGAGGTATGACAGGAAGAAATCAAGGAATGAAAGGAACAATCCCATTTACAATCACTTCATAAAGAAATACATAGGAGCAGATACAAAAAGGAGGTGAAGAACTTAACACAAAACTTCTTTAAAAATAAGTATTTTTATGTAATTTTGTAATCCCTGTGGGCTTCCCACCACCAATTCACCCATGTGCCATCACCATAGTCCAGTGTACTTCCCCCAGCCCATTTTTTATCCCATTCCCCACTCCATCCCCATAAACCATCCCCATAAAATGTCTCTGGTCTACAGTTGTTCATTATTATTTTCTCCCCTGGTCCTTTATATTCCTGCTATGAGTAAAACCATCCAATATTTTCCCCTTTACTTTCTGGATTATTTCAGGACCCATATGTACGATCCCATCCAGCTCCATCCAAGTTGCTGCAAATGGCATGTATCTTTTTGATTGCTGAGTAATATTCCATTGTGTATATGTACCATATCTTTTCAATCCAGTCATCTACTTTTGGGCATTTTGGTTGACTCCATGTCTTTCCTATTATAAATAAAGAAGCAATAAACATGGGGGTGCAGGTGTCTTTTTGAATCAGTCTTTTACACAAACAAAACTTTTAAGAGACATGGCCAATGACACAAACAATGTAAAGATATTCCCTACTTATGGGTGGGAAGAATGAACATTATCAAAATGGCCATCTTATTCAAAGCAAAATACAGGTTAATGTCCCTACTAAAGTTTAAATGGCATTGTTCAAATAAACAGGACATTAATGAAATTCACATGGATCCACAAAAGACCTCACATAGTTAAAACAATGCTGGAAATAAAAGAGGAAGAATGGTGGTATCACACATGCAGACTTCAAGCTACACTAATAAACTATAGTAATTGAAACAGCATGGTACTGGAACAAAGACACAGAGACCAATGGAATAAAATGGAGAGGCCAGAAATAAACTAGCATCTCTACAAATAGTTTATCTACAACAAAGAAGCCAGGAAAGGCTGGAGAATGGAAAGTCTCCCCTATAAATGGTACTGGAAAACTAGACAGATACATGTAAAAGAATGAAACCAGGTCACTAGTTCACACTTTTATGGAAGCCATAAAATACATTCAAGAAAACAGGCAAAACAGTACATGACATAGGCTTTAGAGATGTCTGTGTATTTTACAACAGTAAGGGGAACAAAAGGGAATATAAACAATTAAGACTACATGAAATTAAAAATACAACTGTCACTAGAAAAATAAACACATGCCTTTTGCAGCAACATGGATGGAGCTGGAAAAGATTATGCTTAGTAAAATAATCCAGAAAGAAAAGGAAAAATACCAGATGGTTTCTCTCATAGCAGGAGTATTAACAGACCAGGGAAGAAAATAATAATAATGAACAACTATATACCAGAGACATTTTGTGGGGGTGCAATGGGGAATGGGATCAAAAACAGTGGGGGGAGGGAAATGCACTGAACTATGGTGATGGCACATGAGTGATTTGGTGATGGGAAACCCAAGGGGATTGCAACTGAAATGGAAAAATGCATAAAAATATGTAAAAATAAACTATTATAAAATGAAAATATAAATTTTTTCTTCCTACTTTATTTTTTTTTAAAGATTTATTTATTTGTACAGAACTGGGATACAGGTCAGAGAAGTGGAGGGTGAGAGGATTCATCAGAGACAGAGTGGGGTGCAAAACAGGCAGATCCACGAAGTACACTGCTGAGGGGAGCAGCGGGCAGGTCTGTCACGCCATGTGGTAACCTCCAGGGCAGGCGGGGATAGAACTTATGCGGAAGTGGTTTAAGCTTCTTTGTGCTGCGCTTTAACCCGCTGCACCACCAGGGAGGGCACCTTCCTACTTTATTTATTTATTTTGGATTTCT